CCGGCAGCCGCACAGCAGACAAGTGCCGCTGCAATCTGAGATGTGCAGAGCTGCCGCTGGGGAGAACCGGGTGGAAAGGTTTATCCCAGAGCTCCACAAGCCGGCATTCCGTGCAGCAAATAGAAGCCGCAAAGCCAGGGGAGAAACGGGTGGAAAACATCGGTCTCCCGAGAGCTCCACAAGCTGATAGTGGGAACCCAGCTCCACCAACATGTTATATTTCAACCCATTTTCTAAAGTGCAGCATTATGTTAAATGCACTGGGTTTTACCCTATTACATTTAAATTTCATGGTTAAACAGTACATGTTAAAATCTAAGCTCATCTCGGCAGTGACCTAAAATACATAAATATAATTTTACTTACCAAAAAAAATGAAGTGGAGACTCCTTGGACGCTCTATTAGTGCAATTAATGCCACAGCAAGTCATTTTGTCCAACAATTGCACAAAAATATCCAAAAACAAATACACAAACACAGAGACTCAAAATGCCGGAGCAGTTTCCAGGCCAGACCGAGGCTCTACTGAGGCCTTTCCACTGAGCTAGCTCTGTGGTCACGTGGGTCGGATGCTCATTAATTATACAGAATTTTAGGCTTTTAATACACTTAAACAGAAGAGTGAGAAAAAGATTCACCCCCCTCAGAGTTGTCATGAGTGTAAACTAGATCATTTAAACCAAAAACATGTTTTGGTACCAGGCTGTAAACATGTTTATTTCTGCTGTGAAATTGGTATTTTTAACATGGGAGTCAATGAGGATTTGCTCGCTTCTGACACCAGCCCCCAGCGGATGAGGGTGGAACTGCAATTTATTTCGTTTCCGGGATTGCCTCAATTTTCAATAGTGCCTTGCTGCAGACATTGCCCCCCCCCCCCCCCCCCCCCCCACCCACACACACACACACACACACAAAACACGCCCCCGCCCCCCCGCCCCCCCACTCACACACACACAAAACACGCCCCGCCCCCCTGTTGAGCTACCCCCGAGCTCAACAACGGCAAACAACACATTTGACAGAAAATAAATAAAGAAATAGTATTAACGTAATTAAACAGACAGAACTCCAGGTTTAAATATGAACGTATGGATTTTCTTGGCCATCCCCAGTGAGATTATAAAACACAGATACCACCAACAAATAATCAGTTGCCGTACAATAGGCACAACATGCCTATGCTTACTTAAGTTAGCAGGTGAGTAATGTATGTGCAAGTGTTTATTTTAGTGATAATCGTTTTAATTAACCCCTTAAGCCCACTGGCCTCCATTTTTGGGAGCACACCTCCTACAGCAACATTTAACTTTCAACCATTTGTTATTACAGGCACTAACAGTGGGTCTAAGTTCATACGAGTGAGTAGTTAATATTTATGTTACTATTTATGGTTTTTTATTGCTTCTTTACAGTGAAAAGCTGCTGATGTGTAATTTTTGGGCATATTTACATGTGTATATATGCATTTCATATATTCTGTTAACAGGAATGATTGCTGGCCCTTTGACACAAAATGTATTGATTTAGAAATTACTAAAATATTTTGCATTAAATACAATTCACAAGACTAGTAAATTGATATTGACCATACACTAATCTGGAAAGAATATACTGTAAACACAAAAGCAGAAAAGTTTGGCTTTAGAAAAAAAAGTTCAGACAAATGAACCATCCAGCAACAGCTTTTATTGGCCTTACAAAAACCTTCGAAAAATAAAAAATAAAAATGTCCACACAATGAGATGAGTCCAGAGCTTTTCTGAATTTCTCCGAGTATATGAGCAGTTCCATGGCATAGGACATCAGCTGCCTCTCACTAATGAGACAAAGATAAATAGTAATTAGTAAAAATGACATTTACACCTAGAGGCTGTCATAAACAATGTGAAAACAATACATATAGGCATTAGCACTGTTCTTGTGTTTGTAGAATACCTCCAGTCACACTGCCGTACATTTCTGTGGCTTTGTCTGGTCAACATTCATGGACAGCTGAAAGTGCATGGATGGTTGCCTGAGTAATGAGGTGAACAAAAGGACATCTTTCATGTAGACATTAGTCTGTCGTGTTGCAGGTAACAAGATATTAACCATGAGTTATAGACTGACAACAGTAAAGGCAAAAAATATTTTCATGTGATACAAAAAATTTTTCAGAATGCTGACCACGTTGTGTTGGTCCATGCCGTCATTGTCCTTAATCACGACACACAAAAAACATGACTTCATGCACAGCAGTTACAATTAATTTTATTTTGTTGTCATGCAATAATCTTCACTCATATTCACCTGCTCTCTGGGTGGAAAGCTGTAGGGTGTGTTAAAATACACATGGTCTGTGTCCTGTGGATTCAGAGGAAAGCAAATAATTGTATCAGTTTGATTTACAGTTATCCAAAGAGGATTGACATTTGCACTTATTATACCACCACTATTGAAAGTTGACAACATATCAAACTTTCGGCTATTTAAAATCAACAAATAAACCAAAACAAATTGGAAAAGCTAAATACAGCAACTGATAATTGTGGGACTACTGCCGTCTCAGAATCATTCCATCCCTAAAGTGGTGACCTATTTTCAAACAGGCAGGAGTAAGGTCTTCACTGACCATGGTGCTGCTTTCATGTTGTCTTTATCTTTTTATCCTGAATACCGGTGGTACATTGGTACGAAGGGTTGCCTGTCCCTCTTCTGTAAAGTGGGCAAACTTCCTTCCATACCTGTAATAAACACATATTTTCATGAGCCAAAATTGAGATAAGTGTGACCATAAAAAAGTCATCGTTCAGGAAGCCCTGCAGCGTACCCTTCCAGGCCAAGGTTTTCTAATAGGACAATGCACCACCATCTTCGCAGGAGACACATGTCATCCTAATAAAGACCACAGGTACACTATGAGGACACATTAGTCATAGTATATTAATAATATTTGAAAAGTAGTGATAGAATTTTTACATTTTTCTTTTGTAAACTTACCACACTGAAGTCAAAGGATGTTTCCATAGCAAAGTACCAGGTGTACTGCAGTGATGACAAATTTTCAAACAATATATATGAGACTGTTCAGTGACAGAGTGGACACACATTTACACTAAAATATGTAGTGCAGATCATTACAATAAACTGTATATTAGAGAAGACATGATAAACTGCATGTTTAGAATTAGTACTGTCCACAATCCATTTATTAACTTTATGTAATGCTGTTTTGTTGTGGTTTTGTTTTGTTACTGTGTTGATTTAAAGTAATTCAATTGTGTAATGTAGCTTTACATGAACCTAACATAGTTCTTCAATTGAAGCCATGCAAAATACTACATATTATCCAATCAGTGGCTCCAGCATGCTTGTTTTGTACATAGGGGCGTGTTTGGTCGGGAGCGTGTTTGGTCGGGGGCGTGTTTGGCCGGGGCAATGTCCGCAGCTAGACCTTACTCTCAATTTTAGAGCTGCATTGTGGGGGCTTGGTTCACACCTATATTTACTGCCCCGGTTTTAAAGGTATTTCCTGTCCCTGCTCAGCTCAGCTTCCTGGATATCAAGCATGATGTTTAACACATTTTAAACATCTCCTGTTGGTGATACAATGTGGATACAGGTTTATACATTTACAAAGATTAAATACAAGTGATTAACACCTGAAAATAGTAACACACCCCACATTTGTAGTTTCAGTTCTCAATTTTTAAGCAGCAGTGCACTAAATCTCTTTTCTTTCCCAGCTGTTCATTTAGGCAATGAGAATTTGCTCACTTCTCGTGCCAGCCCCTAGTGGATGAGGGTGGAACTGCAATTTTTGTCACTTCCTTGTTGGCTTCATTTTCACTCCAGAATCATGGGGGCCCGGTTTAAAGTGACAGTGTGTATTTTTCCTTGCGATAGGGGGCAGTAGATACCTGAATCGTTGCAAGCAAGCAGTGTTTTTGTTAGGACCTTACCAACGGATGCCCATTAGGGTCAAAAAGCCCTGGGAAATGGAATGCAAACTTTAGCAAAGTAACAAGCACATCAGACTCCATTTCATCAGTGACAACAAGCGAAGAGGTAAATGTGTAAGACAACAACATTTAAGAATGACGAAAGTTATGTAACCATTTGTTACCATCCATCCATTTTCTGAACCCACTTGTCCATGTGGGGTCGCGGGGGTGGATGGGCGGCTGGTGCCTATCTCCAGCGGTCAATGGGCAATCAGGCGGGGTACACCCTGGACAGAGAGCCAGTCCATCACAGGGCAACACAGAGACACACAGGACAAACAATCACACACACACACACACACCTAAGGACAATTTAGACAGACCAATCAAGCTAACAGTCATGTTTTTGGACTGTGGGAGGAAGCCAGAGTACCCGGAGAGAACCCACGCATGCACAGGGAGAACATGCAATCCATGCAGAAAGATCCCAGGGCGGGAAGCGAACCCAAGACCTTCTTGCTGCAAGGCAACAGCTCTAACCACTGCGCAGCCCCATTTGTTACAAATCAGTAAATACATTTTGTCCTCATGGGCTCCCACAGAAGGAAACATGGCATCTAAAATGGCGTCGCCCAGAGACTTAGACCCGCTCCCATGTATTTTAGACCTGATTTTTATGGTTACATGTTACAAAGCTGCCAATATTTTTCAACAACATTTTGATGGATATTTCCAGATATTAATGGTAAAAACTACAAATTGTCTCTTTAATCTTGTAAAGCAAAGGAAGATAAGTGAAAGGTAAAACCACTGAGGACCACAGACTTGAACACAAATGTCTTGCCCTTGAACTGTAGAAAAAGAACCCAGTTTTTGATGATTATGCTTTAACACAATACGTGTTTCTGCAGCAGAAACCATCTAATGGAGAACCTAGGGTCCCTATTTAAAATTAGATTATTTCTCTCCACACAGAAGAAGGTTTCAACAGCTTTCAGTGTGGCTCCGACAGCACTGAACTGCAACAATAAAAAACATCAGAAACAAATATTAGAAAATAAAACCATGCAGTCTCAAATCCATGATTTTAATTTCCAGGTCATTAAGACAGCTGCTAAATGTTTTTGTCATCAAATTGTATAAAAATACATTTCAACATACAAAAATAACAGCTTCCTTTTAGTAATCATGTGAACCACATCAATATCCGACAATAATTGGTTCGATGAGCTGAAGGATCTGAATTCGTCTAGGGTCCCAGACGCAGTTCTCCTCCAGGCCACTCCTCACCATCCCACATTTAGGAGGAACCCAGGCAGTGTCATACCCCTGATTACTCCAGGTCTTCTGGAAAGGGTGGTTCTGGCGATTGATGACAATCACTCTCCCCACATTGACCTTAACTTTGATGACAACCTTGTCCCATTCTGGGTGATTAGGAGGATAACGAGAAGCTTTTTGAAGGTCCCGGCTGAGGTAAACCCCAGGACCAAGCATCCCACCTGAAGACCGGCGAAAACCTGAGGCAACAATGCTCTGAGCATATGCCTGAGTAGTGCCATGGTACATGACATAGGTGCAACCGTCATGTGGCGGTTCAGCATCCAGTCGAAATACTCCAGGAGGAAGGAAGTCATCTTCTGCCCATTGGAAAGTGCTCATGATGGCTTCAGTATGCCTGCAGGGAATAAAGGGTTTTATTACAAATACTCAATAATCAAAAAGTGAGACTAATAATCTCTGCTTCAAAATCAAAGAGATTCAACAGGTATTGAGTGATAATGAGTTAAGCCTGGATCCCACTGTGCGATTTGCGTCCATCTTAGCCAGATGCCTTGACGGGAGCACAATTGTGTAAAAAATGGTGAACATGAGGGTGATTTGCAAACCTGTGGTCGTCCAGTCTGACCAGCTCTGGGACAGTTTTTAGAGCCATCTCATGACCCAAATCAGCCTCCGACAGTCTACAAGCATGCTTAAAAGCCTACGATTCCTGTCTGAAACCGACCAATGACATCACTCCTTTGGGACGCCGCGGCAGCAAGACTCCGCCTCTCTGAGTTTCAGTTAAAATTTTTGTTTAAAATGTAGACTGTTAACTACACACCAGTTTTTATTTTTGTTAATATCCCAAGTTAAACCAGAGTTATGCTTCATTTAACTACATTTTTAGACCATCAGCTCAATTGTGAAAACCTTGATTCTGTGATCTGTTAGAGCGGAGAGGAGATGAGCTCACGAACATAAAAAATAAAACACAAAAACGTGTGGGGCCTGGAAAACTCCTCGCTTCAGAGATGGGATGGAGGTCTTAGGGTGGAGGTTGCTTTGACTCCCAGACGGTTCCATGGCCTTCATCAGGTCACAGGTCCAACCAGGTGTGTGTGTGTGGGGGGGGGGGGGTCACAGCAAATGTCCACATTCCCTCTGTGGGGACTTTACTCTTCAGCCCCAGACTGAAGACTCAAGGACACCAGATTCTGATAAGATGAATTGTTTTGGGACAGGCAGAGACAAATTTCCTCCCTGCCTTACAGTTCTGTTGGTCACAACTCCTCCAGAAAGCAGAATAATGGTGTTTAAACTATTCCACGCCGTGCTCGGACCACTCTCTCCCTATTTTAAGGTGTTGCCATATTTTGTGTCCTCTACTGAGTAAACAGGAAGTAATTATTTGGAAATAACTGACTCAGGAGTAATGCATGTAATTGTATCTAAAAAAATAAAAGACAAAACAGTTCCTGTGAGACATGAGATATTAAAAACATAATTTTAGATTCTGTGTCATCAGAAAACTATAACTACATGGAACTACTTTGTAAACTCCTCTCCTGTGTTTTCAAGCCCCTCAATAATCATAATACTCTTCTTTCCAAGTTACTTCTAAACATAAAACAAGAAACTCAATCAACAAGGACATGTTCTACCAACATGCTGTTTCTCCTCACAACGCCGTACCGCTTATGTGATCCAAACACATGAACGGTATCAACACTAACAACCAAAGTACATCACCATCCATCTAATCCAGAAGAATACTTTCTCTTCATCATTCTTCATCACTACCTTCTCATTGGCCTAGTGGAAGACTGTCCACTGTGGAGCTAGAAGACTGGGGTTCAAGTCCTGGTTGGGTCCTACCAAAGATTTTAAAAATGGGACTCAACGCCTGCCTTTTTGACACTGAGCTGTAATGGGTTGGACTGGATGGTTAAACCACCAAATAGCTCACTGCTCCTAATGGGGATGGGTGAAATGTGGAGATGAATTTCATCAGTGTGTGATGACTAATGGGACTTTAACCTCTCAATCCTACAACCATCAATACAAAGTAGGGGAGTGACACTCATTCAGGTCCCTGTGCAGTGCTACCTAACACATAAAACTACAAAAACTTTATCTGAAGTTGCTGTTTGTTCTCATAACTTTGAGGTTGGGACTGATAAAATACAATGTGGATTATCTTTTTCAAAAGTATTTTTATTATAAGAAAACTATTTGGTTTTAACTTATGACTCAGTCTGATGGAGCTTTTACTGAGTTTTACTTTAACACAGTGGAAAAAAAGAGTCTTCATTCTATTAGCAGGAACATCAATAAGCATCTGAGAACTTCAGCAAACTGACCTGGTTTGTATTTTGTTTGTGAAGGGAGGAATAATAAAGCAGCTCTGACTTACCTCCGTCCGAGTCCGTACGAAAGTGAATCTCCTTCTCGTCCTGCCTCAGACAAAAATCCTCAAGAGGAAACTCCAAATATGGATGTCTTTCTTTCACTTTTGTTTCTCATGTTGAAGGCTGTTTTAATCAGTCAGGATGTTGTTTAGGCGTGGTCGACTCAGACCTAAGTTCCATTCCTGTCATCCAGCTGCACATTGTTCTGTGTTATCAGAACCAGAACGGGCCTCACGGGGACTTCCACGTTTCCAGTTTGACACTGATTCTGTGGTGATGTTTGTGCAGCAGGTTCTTCCTCACCTCTGTCAGTGTGCCCCAGGGCAGCTGTGGCTACATCGTAGCTCATCACCACCAGTGTGTGAATGTGTGTGTGAATGGATGAATGATACACTGTAGTGTAAAGCGCTTTGGAGTCCTTACTCTGGGAGACGCTATACAAGTGCGGGCCATTTTCCCAGTGAACCTGTACATCCTCCTCCTTACTAGTTGCAATGTGTCATTTTAATTTCCACGACATAAAGCAGTTTAACGTTTCTCTCTCACGCTGAGAGCCATGTTTACTCGGGATCAGAGGCATCTGTGGGCCCCAAATGAAAGAGAACATATCCTTATTTTTACTTCTTGTTTTCTACATATTTCTATTAATTGTGTCTTTTGTGAATTTATGCATCTCTATTTACGTAATTAGTACCTTTTTTTCCAAACATATTTGTGGATCTTTCTCATTAGTTTCCCCACAATATGAAAGTGTATTTGTTTTCTTTTTTATTATTATGTAAATCCCTGTGGGCTTTTAAACTAAAGGTTTTAGTGTGTTTACAAGATCCTTTTGTAGAGGTTGTCATCATTTTACTACTTACTTTGTACACGTGTGTGTGTGTGTGTGTGTGTGTGTGTGTGTGTGTGTGTGTGTGTGTGTGTGTGTGTGTGTGTGTGTGTGTGTGTGTGTTATAGGGTTTACATTTTTGAGATAATCAGGACTTTATACATCTTTTTGATTGTAATGACACGGGGAATTTCCTTCTCTTTTACTAAATTATGTATTTGAGAGTCATTTTTTTACTGTAAAGTCGATATTTTAAATAATTTTTCTTAGACAAGCTTGGTGGTTGTTTGAGTGACTCTAATTGGAAACATTTGGTTCACAGAGAGTCCTGTGACCCCTGACCCCTGTGGCCCTGGAGCCTCTTCATTAGAGTCAACATGATGACTGTCACCAAGCTGCAAAATGAAGAAGGAAACCAGCATCTTACTGTTTGAAAACACATTTTACAGAGAAGTGTTAAAAGTTAAAAGTTTGTCTTCATGGAGGTGATGACGGTGATGAAGAAGAAGGAGCAGAAAAATGTTGTGTATGCTGTTTTATTTTCACTTTGAGCGTTTCATTTTATAACATTGTTGTACAGAAGCATTCAAAGCATGGATGTGAACTGCAACAACTGTTTCATGTCCAACGGCTCAAGGTTAACATAACACACCGGTTTTAATTCCTTATCGTCTTGCACTGGAGACCTGCTGAGATAAGAGGAGACCCTGAGCCGGGGGAAATTAAGGTTCACGCACGCTTTCAGGGAGAGGAGAACAGACATTTATCATTAGCAGGTTGGAGGACACACACTGTGTGTGTGTGTGTGTGTGTGTGTGTGTGTGTGTGTGTGTGTGTGTGTGTGTGTGTGTGTGTGTGTGTGTGTGTGTGTAAAATTCAAATAAACAATCTGACTTATAAAAATGATTCATTTACCATTAAATGATCATGTCACACAACGTGTCAGGTTTGTGAACACCTTCTTCAGTAGAAATAAATGCACTGTGGGTGAATGAGATCCCATGAACCCCAGTATGTGAGGCTGCTCAGCTGTACATCTGAGGTGGTAGTGTGCAGTACTGGAGCTCCACAGGGTACAGTGCTCTCACCCTTTCTCTTCACCTTTTACAGCTCAGACTTCACCTACAACACCAGCAGCTGTCCCTTCCAGAAGTTCTCTGATGACTCGGCCATCATCGGCTGTGTGTCTGAGGGGAATGACCAGGAGTACAGGTCCGTCATCATGGACTTTGTGGACTGGTGTGAGCGTAACTTTGCTTGAACACCAGTAGGACAAAGGAAATGGTGATTTCCTTCCAGAGAACCACTCCTCCTCACTCACCAGTAAACATCAAGGGAGCAGACCCTGAGGTGGTGGATACCTTTAAGTACCTGGGTGTTCACCTCAACAGCAAACTGAACTGGTCCAACAACACACATACTCTGTATAAGAAGGGCGAAAGCCGCCTCCACCTCCTGAGGATGATGTCCTTCAGAGTTAATTCCCAGCTGCTAAAATCCTTTCATCACTCTGTGGTTGGCTCTGTTATCCACTCTGCTGTGGTCTGTTGGAGTGCAGGCAGCTCTGACCGAGACAGGAAGAGACTGAAGTTCAGAAAGCTGGCTCGGTTCTGAGCTGCCCACTGGATTCAGTTGAGGAGATGTGTGAAAGGAGGATGCTGGGGAAGATGACCTCCATCTGAAAATAAACCCGCCCACCCACTGAATTCCACTATGGAGACCATGGACAGCTCCTTCAGATGTAAAACAGAAGGTCATTCATCCCCTCTGCAGTAAGAGTGCAATGCCAGATTTACATCGCATGTCTGTATACTGCATAGTGTTGGAACCCAAGTTTTTTCATTTTTTATTTGTGTTTCTTTTGGTGGTCGAAGGTTATAATTCTAGATTACTGCCTATATGTACAGTATACACATGTACCTTTGTTGTTATTTTTCTTCAAATTATTCTCTTAAGTGTTGGTGCTGCTGTAACACGTGAATTTCCCCACTGTGTGATCAATAAAGTCTATTCTATTCTATTCTATTCTATTCGTTCTATTCATCCAAGATGGCAGCTCGTTACTACGCCAGCTAAAATAGGCAGCTCAGGTGTAGCCACACTCCATTGGAGCCCCAGCAGGCTCAAACAGTTTTGTGTCTTGCCAATCATACAGTAGAGTTCTGTTGGTTTAGTGAGCAGATCGCTACTGCGGCTGAGCGAAACAACAAAGATGGCAGTTTGAAACCACTTTGGGATCAACTTTAGACTATTTAGACTTGGAGACAATAGCAGACAGAGGTACGTTATCCTTTATTTAGAAAAGGTATGCATTTGTTTCGACACTGTATGGCAGACTGCCCTGTTGACTGATATCTGTAGCGGTGAGAGCGTCACGTTGTTCTCTCTATGGGATGCTTCCAGACTGTATATTCACATATAAATGATGGCTTGCCAGGGTAGGGTTTCATCGAATCCAAGCGTCTTATATCTGGTTTGAACTAGGTCACACAAAAAAAACATATTTCATAAAAAATTACATCCAGTGGTAATATTTTATCATATAATGTGCCTGTAGTGGCTCTGGAAGCTGTAACATACAGGTCCTTTAAAGGAAGACTATTCTAATTAGCTAAAAAAAATGTATGTTTAATGTAGAGGAATAAGTTCACAACTACTTTGGGTACAAGTTCAGAATGCACTTGTTTCATCAAGTGATGAAATAATTGCGAATTTAAAAACAGAACACATGGTCTATGGTTTACGCAGAAAATTTTATTGCAATGTTGTTTTAAAAAATGACCAAAGTGTAAGTGTCAGACTTGAGACTTGACTCACATTTGAGGATAAAGAATTGAGACTTACTGAAAACTTGCAAAACAATGACTTGGTCCCACCTTTGGTTGGCACAACGCTGTATTTAATTTTTAGTTATTTTATTTGTATGTAAAATATGTTTTATGGAAAATAAAAATTTATTAACAAATAATTAAATTTGGAGCAAAATATTTAGTTTACAAATTGAATGTTCAACGTCAATGGAGTTTGTCTTCATGGAGGTGAATTTAATAATGCATAGAACTTATATAGCGCTTTTCTAGACACCCAAAGACGCTTTCACACACTCTCACATCGCTAGTGATGGTAAGCTACTTGTAGCCACAGCCGCCCTGGGGAGGTCTGACAGAGGCGAGGCCCCTCTGACCACCACTAACACAGGCAAGTTGGGTGAAGTGTCTTGCCCAAGGACTCAACAGCAGGATACCCCTGGCGGGAGCTGGAATCGAACCCATGACCCTCCGATCATGAGGCAACCCGCTCTACCATCTGAGCTACTGCTGCCCCCGAATATATATCGATATATATATATATATGTATACATAACCGTTGTTTTGTACTGAGGTTTTCTAGCCAGAGGTTAATTTGCAAACCTAGTCCTTGGTTAGACTTTCAGAGACAATCAAATGACAGCATTTATAACATTTAACACCACACACACACACACACACACACACACACACACACACACACACACACACACACACACACACACACACACACACACACACACACAATCAATGTAAATAAATTAGTTTGGCTGATAAGGAACATCAGTTTCATTTTTTTTTCACTTGAGAGTTAGAAGTTGTAAAATGTGTTAACAGCTTTATTGTTGATGGTCTAAATCTGAGGTCCTCTAAATGAGAATGAGGACTGATAAAATGATGTTTTGTGTTTTGCAGTCTCCGTTGACTGGTCCACTGGTTGCTGCTCCTGTGCTGTTGACTTTTACAGTCTGCTCACCAGCTCCGGGACAAGGCCATTCAAACATTTGAAGTTCAGTTTTATATTAGAGAAGTTTATGAAGTTATCAAAACTTAGGAGGTTGTGCTTCTCCTGTATTTTACAGTGGTGCCACTTCATTGGTTTATGGTCCAGGACTTTTAGGGCATGTTTGTACAGACATGTTTTAAAGCAGACTGGGTTGCTCGGTTTATTCACATTATGTACTTATTTTAATGTTAACGTTCATACGGAGCACACAGAAGGCCATGAAATGCCCTGACTCTATCTTGATACAAGAAATAAGAATAAACACAGATCAACATTAAAAAATCACCAAAGAAAATATTTGATATTTACTAATTATTTTAACAGACTTGATTTCTGACTTTTTCATTGAATGATTTAAATTTTTGTTTTTAAATAATTCATGCAACGAAATACAAAACATGAGTTGTTTGCAGCATCTGATTCTGGCCCTTCAAAGCTGAATGTGTTTAGGCATTTGTTTGTTTGAACACACGGGGGCGGAAGTGACGCATATGAGCATCCACGGTACAGATTTTTTAATAGAAAACATAAATGTCTTTTTTTCACACCTGTGTGATGCTTGTGTGGAGATAGCCTACACCAGAAACAAATGTGCAGTCAGATTCTCACCAGCATGAGTCAAGATGAACTGTCATGGTCAGATTAAACTAGTTTCACTGCTTCCATGTGGCTATTATTAGACCGAAGGCAGAAGCGGTAACACTAAAACACGGATTTCAATCTGATCTTTGTTTAAATGGGTAATTGATAAAATTTTTAAATGAATAAGGGTGTGTGTGTGTGTGTGTGTGTGTGTGTGTGTGTGTGTGTGTGTGTGTGTGTGGACCCGGACTGAAGCAGGTCTTCTGTAGGAACTCGCAGAAGTTGTGTTTTCCTCAGCTGTCTGCTGTAAACAGCCACATGGGGGCCTCTGCGCCTCCAAACATCTCTCCTCATTCCGAATCTGTGCCAAACTCCCTCCTACCGCTTGTAGCCCCTCTCAGGCCGTGGAGGGGGGCATTCGCATCCCGCTGTCTGCGTTTAGCGGACGGTGCTGCCAGTCAGCGTGAACCGGGGGGAGATGAACTGTAACCCGTGCGCCCGCAGGCTGGCCCGCCGCTCCCGCTCTGCCCTGCTGCTCTCTGCGGTGGCCGTTCTGCTGCTCCAGACTCTCATTGTGTGGAACTTCAGCAGCCTGGACTCTACCGGCGGGGACGGGGGCGCCAGGAGCCGGGAGAAGCGGGAGGACCGGACCAGGGGGCTCAACAAAGCCGAGGAGGACCCGCGGAGGGGGCTGCAGAAGAAGGACGAGCCTCCGCCGCCGCTGTACGGAAAGGCGGCCCTCCGACACAAGCTGCAGGCGGTGGGTCTGGATGATGTGTGCTGCTTTTATCACCCTTTTGCACGCGTGTTTTGAGTGGGGAAGAGTCCCTGAGGGGATCCGCGTGAGGATGCTGCTGGGCGGCTGAAGCTGTTGTTCCGGTGCGTGTCCACCACGGAGACCAGCGTGGATAGGCCGAAATCTCTTAAAAATGTCATTTTTGATGCAATGACGAAATAAATAAATAAATCCACCTCATGTCTGAGGATCACAGCACAGAACAAAGCTGCTGCTGCTGCTGCATCAGGGAACAACAGGCAAAAACAGATGTTTTAGGTAAAATCAGCATGTTTGATGTGAGATTTTCTGCCACCCTGGTCCAGTGTGTTGAGTCTACCAGGTAAACCAGTTGTTTCCATTGATGGCGGTCTTGAGCCGCCTGTTTTGCATTTGCCACAGCAACCCCAAATTGTCGAATGTCGGCCACTACAACGTCGAAGTTATTGAAGTAATCCAAAACAAATTTAATACCTTTACCTTTTAATACAGCAAACATTCTGCAGGTTAAACCAGGTGTACCCACCTTGCTGCTGGGCTTTAAACATAATCAGAAAAGGAAGAAATCGAGGTTTGAGGATGATTTGTAATTGGTGATTGATCCTTCCATGATTGTATTTTAATGGTTTGGTTTTACCCGTTTTATCCTCTTGGCTCTTATTGTTGACATTCACTCTGGGTTTTATCTTCTTTGGTTCTAAATGTTGGTTGACCAGACTTCTGTTTAAGTCAAGTTTTGGACATGATTCTAATGTTTTAGACCAGGTTAGACTGTTATTTGTACTGTTGTTAGATCTGGTTTTTTATTTTTCAGTCATGTGGGAACTGAGGAGCCTGTGATGCAGTTTTTTTTAATAAATTTATGCTGGTGTGTCCTCCATTACTGTGGTTGTTCTCCAGTCTTAAAAAACCAAAACCAGGATCTTGAAATGAACCCTGAAGCTGACTGGCAGCCAGTAAAGCTGGAGGAGAAGCGGGGTGAAGTGGGTGTACTTTGACGATTTGGTCAGAAGCCGAGCACAGGCATTCTGAACCACCTGTAGACGGTTCAGGGAGGTTTTGCTCAGGCAAGTGAAAAGCGAGTTGCAGTAGTTTAAGGGTGAGGAGATGAAGGTGTAGATAACACCAAGTTGTGAGTTGTTTAGCCACAACCTTTTCCAAGATCTTGGAGATGAACAGAGGTTTAGAGATTAGTCTGAAGCTGCTATGGAGAGAGGGGTCGAGACTCAGTTTTTTAAAAGAAATCAAGAACTAACCAGATGGTGAGCAGGGTTAGGGTTAGGTAGAGTAGATAGAGTAAATGAATCTCAGTGAGTTCCCCCTGAATCAGTCGATTAACCGAAACAGTTTAGGGGGCTTGGGGAGAAATTATGACACGTCTCGAAATAAAGTAAAAATTTCTAGTGCATGGAGGAGCCAACCCATAGAAGCACTGATTTGATCTCATTTCAGAGAAAAATAGAACAGGTCAGATGCACCTAATAAATAAAATTACTAACAAACTCAGGAATCAGTTTCTTTGCTTCACTGTTCTGGTGCTGAGAATATCACTTATGCGGATCAAAGGAGATACACAGATGAATGCACCTCTTATTTATTATTTGGAAACTACATTTATTGCAGCTGGCAGAGGCAGAGATTGTTTCTATTGATACACGGAATTTACAGAATCATTTTAAATTTTAATGGGGAAGACCGCAGGAGGGAGCGGTAAAATACAGGGGTCCCCAGCAAAAACAAACTATGAGTCTGATGAAACCCGCTGGTTTTCCATCAGGCAGTCACGGGGCAGCTCCAACGACCCAGTGGCTGTGCTGGGTCAATGTTATCGAGCTCAGTCCGGCTCGGCCAAGATTCGAGCCGAGGCGACATCCTGCTCTGCTTAAGAAGAAGTGTTATTTTCCCGCTTCAGAAGAAGCGTCCAACGTGTTTTTACGCTTTCTCCGAGACATGTCACGTCGCTAAGTTGTTAGCGCCACGCGCTAACACGTCAATAGTGCAGCGTAGCCTGCTGGAGGTTTTAAGGGTTTAGATTAAAACACCCGACCTCTCAGGCTGCTCACACATCGATCTTAAGTTGTTGCTGTTGCGCTCACGTCGTAATACAGTATTAGATGCGGTTAAAGTCAGACCTGAAAAAATAAATTTTACATGAATAAGTGATGCTTAGCCTGGTGGGGGGAGGAATACCTGGTCTAATAAGCACTGGAGGAAACCCTGTCAAGATACTCAACACTCGTTTATCTTAATGCTATTGAAACATGTAAACCACAAAGCATTATACTGCGACCTTTCAAATTTTAAACTCAGTAACTTATGCTGTAACTTCACCTTGCCCTGCCTGCTCCTCCTTGCTGCCACCGGCTGTGATCACAAGCGACAACATAGTAGTTCCCGCTGCTTCTTCGGGAAACAGCGCCCAAAAAAAAAAAAGAAAACAAAAACTTGGGATCTTGTAGGCCTGGCGATGGGATTTCAGCACGCCTATGTAAGGGAAACCTTGGTAGAGCTAGGGCTGCTCGATTATAGCAAAAATAATAATCACGATTATGGTGACTGAAATTGAGATCACGATTATTTAGGACGATTTTTCTATTTATGTTGATTTTATTAGTTTTTATTCAGTCATAAAATTGCTCAGGGCACAATCGGGACAAAAATAAATAAGAAACAAGATGATCACTAAAATAACTCCTGATTCCCAGTATAAAAAGACCAATATACTTATAGCTCATAGTCTATGACCCAAGGGCTATAGACCTTGGTTTAACTCATTTAAGTCTAACCAGTACAGACCCAAATACCAATATCTTGCAAATACTGACAGCAAGAATTATACAGTGGCATTCATAACAAATAAATGCAAATAAATTGATGTTCACAAAATGTTGCATAACATTGAGTCGTGTCTAGGTGCTGTAGGAGAGTGCACTAGCACCGTGTCCTCAGAGAGATTAGTTATCATTTATCAGCGTGAGGAAGTTATTTCTACCTTATTTATAAACTATTTATTTACAAGTCCATCAGTTAATGTAATAATTGTCCCAACCACAGCTGCACCCCCCAACCCGGTCTCACAGCAATCAGGGGCAAGCTGCACGTGTGTTTAGCACGCCGCACGCACACATTTAGCCGTTTTTAGCGGCTCCGAGAGCCGTTTCTTTAGCAACTGGCATCACTACATGATTCCCTTTCCTAATGTCCTGAAGAACGGTCCGGAGCGCAGGCGGAGTGTTTAGCTAACCTGCAGGAAATGTCGACGACAGTCATCCAGAAAGTAGCTACGGGTTACCAGAGATGTTTCTGAGGTGTTTGCTAGGTACTTTTAAGATTTAAAAAGTCAAGAAGGGGGTCTGAGAAGCTGTTAGAAATAGCGTCAAAGTCGCCAAGTTGGCAACACTGTGGAGGAGCGCTTCATTTGCAACTCAGGGCAGCGCAAGTGGGAGGAGCAAATAATCGGCTTGTTTTGTTTTTTATAATCGTTCAAAACTCAGATCGTAATCGTGATTAAAATTCGATTAATTGAGCAGCCCTAGGTAGAGCTACATAGAAGCTGGTCTCTAAAAACAACAGCTAGGCCTCCACCACAACCAGAAATCCAGGGCTGGCTAAGAAAAGAATAACCACAAAGGCAGAGTTCAATCAGACCAGAATAATCAGATGTTTGCTGCCAAACTTCAGTCAGAAACAGGAAATCCTGGTTTTTAGAGAGAAGAAGATCATTAACCCTCTGGAGGCAGGCGTTGCAGATTTACAACGTTAAGACTTACATACCTGGTTACTCCACACACGTATTTGATGAGCATTTTTTAACTCAGAAGTTCCCCTGAAGGACTTAGTTGTTCGTCCTTTTATCAAAACTTATTTTGAGCCTGAAAGGGTTAAGCAGGAAGAACTGATTGTTAACAGACCGGGTATTTAATAGAGCCATGCTGAGTGATATGGAGGAATCAGAAACTACAGAAACAGCTGGAGTTAGTGGACATAAATTAGTCAGATTTGTTCCACTATGTTTCTAAAAACTACTCATGGAGGGAACAAGAGGAGAAACCACTGAAGAATGGGCATAAACAGGCCTCTGGAAACTTGGACGGAAAAACTGCGCCGCATCGCGGCCTGGCGGGAATGCAGAAGTGGTGCTCAGATCTCCAAACAAAAGACAAGAAGCTAAAAGATCACGCTGATGTTTACCAGATAAACCACTCTTTAAGAGAACTCTTATTCTTGCCTGGATTCCTGTTCATTTATCCCTTTTCCTCCCAACGGTTTCCGGAGTTGGATACACATCGCTGGAGGCGTTTGGGTAGTAATCACCGTTTGGCTCCGGGCCAGTGCAAACAAATAGGCAGATGAATCCTCGGCGCATCTTGGGCGATCACAGACAAACGGAAGGACAAAAGAGTTTGGCAATCATAGGAGATGGAAATCGGGACGCTATCAAAGAAAATTGCAGACAGAAGCAAAGCGGAAAGGGGGAAAGTTTGAAAAAGGCCGGTAACAGCGACACTTCCAAGCACAGGCGCCATCTTGTTACCGACCCACACACATAGACAGAAATAGATAAACCTGTATCAACAGATAAGGAATCTGTTTGGCTCTCTCCTTCAGAAGCAGATTTTAAAAAGAGGCTGAAGACCCACTTTTATGGTTTGGCTTTTAACTCTGTGGGTTGGGGGTTGTTGATCTTTTACATGATTTTATTATACTTTTAAGTGTTGTTTTTAATTTATTACTGAGCAGCACTTTGGTGGCGTGCCTCTTGCCTATAAGGAGCTCTACAAATGAAGGATGGTGATGAGCAGGAGCAACAATAATAGGAAATAGGTATTAGCCCTCAAAACCAGAATCGGTGCATCATTAGTTTCGGACTGCTGTAAAATTTTACTAAACACTTTTGGAATTTTGGACCTGCTTCTTGACAAGTTAGTCTGGTTGGGACTTGGTTTTTGACTAGGTTCTTGAGCTCGTATTGGTTTGGTTTGAGT